ATATATATTTTCTGTTGAGATCCCATGACATTGCATCGTCCCCAGTCCAGAGACATACATAGTTGAAGAGATGTTACAGGAGTATGTTGCCTGTTCTTAACACACAGTCCAAGGACAAATTCAAGGTCTGTGAAACCTGCTGTATTTCTCCTTCCCTGACCTTGGAGGAATGTCAGGTAAGACATTCTGCCTGTCAACCCAGAAAAGTGATACAAGAGAGAGCACATTCCATGGCTGCAACTCAAGGGCAGACAGAAAGAATTTCTTTGCAAAGGGGGAAAGGCCTGTAGATTTTAGCACTCCTTCTCCCTAAGAAGAAGAGAATCACCCATCTTTTCTCTTTCAACCTAGATCAGCTACGGGGTCATCAGCCACATTCCTGAGGAGAAACATCATTTTCCCTTTTTTCTACTGGATGAGTCCAAAACAAGAACCTCCTTATTTGGCGATTGTCAAGTTGCTCCTGCATTTCTGATGGACGTGGATCGGCCTCTTTGTTCCAGACAATGAAAATGGGAAAGGTTCAGAAATTCTTTTGCGCTTGAAGCCATAAAGGAAGGGGTTTGTGTTGCCTTCTCAGAAAGCATCCCACTGAGTGGTAGAGAGACAAAAATGGGGAAACTTCTTCATTTTGTGTACAGTGAAGTAAAAGTTATTGTATGTCATTTGGATCTACTGGCCACGTATATCCTAACGGTAACAATACCAACATTTGAATATAATCCAAAAGGGTTTGGGGAGAAAGTGTGGATTGCCACTTTGGCAGACATGGGGGTCAGGTTTTTTTATCATAAACAATTTTATTGTCCTTCTCAACTCGGGCCAGAAAAAGGACACAACATGGTCATTTAAATTTAGAAACCTTTAGTGTTACTAAGTTTGTGGACAAAGCCTTTTAAGTATTCCTTTTCAAGCCCTGTGTTATCCAAAAAATGTTGGGTTCGATTCAGAGAAAAAGCCAAATGGAAATTTCTACCCCTTGATGTGGTTGAAAGAATCCTCTCTGAAGATGCATCCAGTATTCCCACTGCAATCTTGGCTGTCTCCTGGATCCTAAATACTGCCTATTCTTTATCACTGAGTAGTAGGAGGAAGAATGTTGGAGACCGTCTCATACCCCAGATTTTACAGCCATGGCAGGTAAGACTTCTCCTTTGAATTTCCACTGACGGCCCCCCTTCAATTCTTCCGTTATCTTTTGGAGATGGGAAGGACAAGATATGGAGTGGAGTCTTTTCAACATCAGTTGCCCAATTTCTAGTGTTTGTCCCTACCAGATACAAAGGCTTAGAGAAAGAGAAAAAAGTGGAGATGCTGTTGCTGAATCTTCCAAACTAAACAATGTGTGCTTGTGTGAAATGCAGTTGGTACAGGGAATGCTGTCTCAAAAGAGAAAAAGGGTCTATCTCTATTTGAAGATTAAATAACCACCACAATGACACAGTTCCACTTTGCTCTCTTTTGATCATCCCACATTGGCCTTATCTTGCTCTTAGGCCAGGGGACTGGTTCTCATTGCCTGTCAGGCCACAGCAGGAAGGTGTTACCTCTATGGCTCTGCTCAGCATCTTCAAGAAACAACAAGGTCAGTTGGTCTCTTTCTGACTGAGGCCTGTTGCTCATAGACTGGTACCCACCACCATTATTTTTCTTCTTCATTTGGCCTATCAAGGAGAAGCAGATCCCAAGGCCTTTCCCTGCTCTTACTGCCTCCTCCAAAAATATGCATAAAAGAAGGAAGAGGGAGTGCTATGCAAATCTGAAGTGATCAAAGGTGAAATGGTACAAATCAGAAGTTTTAAGACGAGAGATGCTGAAGCTGAACATTTTTTTTTAGGCACTCAAATATTATAATGTTTCCTTCTGGTAAATGATGTTGAAAAGGGCAAGGGTGGGGTGGGGATCAATAAGGCCAGGGGTGGGGTGGGGGATCGATAGCAACAATTGTACAGGGGAGGGGAAGGAGATTTGGACATTTGGACATTCATAAAAAACATAGAACAATCCACACCAGGTTGCTGCAGATGGTCCATACATGAGATGGAGTTGATGTTCCAGAAAAACCAAATAGGGACACTGGTGCTTTTACTAACAGAAGGAGAGGCTGGCATTTTAGACCAATGGTGAGGGACAGACACAATGAGATGGTCACCTTACAAAACATCTGATCGCTGGAGTCCAAACATGTTTGTGTCCTGAGGATAAGAATTTCATAAAAGATTGCAAGCCAGAGTGATCAAGCAAATGAGAGGGGAAGAGAGAGTAAATCCTTGACTAGATTCTGCTACCCAACATTTGCACACATGCACTGAGCTAAAATAGCCTAGTTTTGACTCAGGGCTCAAATGGGAATATAGACGGTACAGGGGTAATTCTCCATGTCTTTCTAGCTTCATTGTTTTCTGAGAGAGTGCCAGCTTTACAATCTTTCAGGAGATAATGTTTATTTCGATGAGAATGGAATTCCTGCTGCTGTCTTTGATATCGTACACTGGGCAATATTTCCCAACTGGTCCAAAGGTGGAGTAAAAATTGGAAAGATAGAAAGTGTTCCCTCTTCAAATGTCAAGCTGTCCATCAGTGAGAGTGCCATCATATGGCCAACATCATATAAGCAGGTAGCTGAGTCTGCTGCTTGTGGGTTTTATTATTAATATGATCCAGTATATCTCTCAAAATTTGGAGTTCACCAACACTGCCATTCTGATGGAGGGTTTATGCTGGAAAAAGGGCAGGTTGAAGGAGACTCTCCTAGTTCTCCTGGACCTCTCAGACACCTATTGCTGCATGTGGGAATGCCAGTCTTGTTCTGGAGCAGGACGGCAAATCATATTGTTTAGCTTAAGGTTGCTTGTAGGCCAGCAAATCCCTTGATAGGAGAAAGAACAAACTTCATGGCATGTAATTCCAGCCTTCCTCAGAACTGGAGCCTAATTTGAGTCTTGGCTAGTAGAAAATAATGACTCAGGAGATTCACGTTGGAAGAAGCAGAGAGATCAAGGACAAGTTATGCTTGATGCTGTCCTAGCAGTTACTAAGATAGAAGCAAGCAACCTTTATTGTACTTCCCCCCGTTTGGACTACACTGTTTCTTAGCACTGGCTATTCAGGCTGAAGCTTTTTTGACATGAAGGTCAAAGCACATGTTACCTCTTGTTAGTGTAAGGCTTACCCCGTTCATCTAGAGAAACTCTCATGACACGTGTGTTCAACAAAGAAGTTTACTCAAGTGTAACATTCGTAATTACAGAGAAAGCCAGAACTGGCTTGGCACATCTTACCACACAATTTATAGTCGTCTCGTTCCTGCGCTAGCCCCGTTGCTAGGTTACATATTACAGATTGCAGATTACAGATTACCCCCAGTAATCCCCCCTTTTACTCAAATGGCAGGTTCAGCCCAATTCTTTTGTTCTTTGATTGTTGTTTTCCGATGGCATGGTCGTTGTCTTCATTGGGTCTTTCTGTTGCGTGCAAAGCCGTGAGTTTCCAATCGCGCATTGATTGCTATTCCTCAAATCCGCAGCTCTCCCCTTTGTCTATAGTGCCCACAGCCAACTGGCATTAACACAATGCATCCCCTTGCAGTTTAGTTAAGTGGCGCCAGCTGGCCCATTAATTTGTTTGCGGTTTCACACTTCCTCTTTCCTTGCCAGTGCTAGAGCGGTGAAACTGACTAAGCGCGGCTGGGCAGGTTCCTAGCTGTGCCACGTCGGCTGAACCTGACAGTTAGAACGGGGGGAACAAGGCCAAGGGTGCCCGGCCAGAGGAGCCATCAGCTGCTCATGAATATTGAGTGGATTCTGGAATCAAACTCAACTGAAAATGGATTACTCCTGGAGGTTCTTCAGGAAAACAATCTGAGGTTGAAAATGAGTTTCTGAAAAACAAATCTTCACTGTGTTTTGAAAGTATATATGACCAGACAATAACTAGCATGTAGAATTAGGACATTGGGCAAGTATAGAACCTTTAGCCCCTTGAATTTAAAACAAAGTTCCTGGAAGATCTTCAAACATTGTTATGTTCAAGAACCAGCTTGAGGGCAACCTGTCCTTCTGCTCATATTAAAACCTGTTCTTAGAAAGAGCCAACGATCCTTGATTTGGTTACTTTCTGCTGATGTGGTTTTGCACAATGTGTGAATCATATTCCACAATTTAAAGTTAAAACAAAACATGGTTTAACTCAGTTTGTGAATCTAGCCTGCAACTAATTTCCATTCATAGAAATAATCCCCTAAAATAGATTATTCTGGATTTTCTTTATGTTTAGATGGTGCCATTTTCTAGATGTACTGAAAGTTGTCTCCCAGGATACAACAAACTCAAGAGAGAGGGAGCACCGGTTTGCTGCTATGACTGTTCTCCATGTATGGAAGGAACAATCTCCACCCAGGAAGGTAGGTGGCTCAGGAGCAAAGAAAGAACACTATTGAGGTCCATGCCAGGAGAGATCCTGCTTTGCTCCCAAAGCTTCCACACTAGCTAAAAATACAACTGCTTGTTTTTCAGATGCAGCCCATTGTGAGAAGTGCCCAGATGACCAGCATTCCAATAAAAAGCGAGACCAGTGTGTCCCCAAGATTATAAGTTTCCTGTCTCATCAAGAAACGTTGGGTCTCATCCTGACCCTCTTTGCACTTGGGTTGTCCCTAACCACTGCCTTTGTTCTGGGAATCTTCATTAAATACCGAGAAACTCCCATAGTCAAAGCCAACAACTGGGACCTCACCTACATCCTACTGGTCTCCCTCTTGCTTTCCTTCTTGACTTCCCTGCTGTTCATCGGTCGCCCCAAGAAAGTGACCTGCCTCCTCCGGCAAGTTGTATTCAGTGTTGTTTTCTCAGTTGCCGTATCCTGCTTGCTGGCCAAGACCGTCATGGTAGTGGTGGCGTTTCTGGCCACAAAGCCAGGCAGCATTATGAGGAAATGGCTGGGGAAGAGTCTGGCCAACTCTATTGTCTTGTCCTGCTCTGGGGTTCAGGTGGGAATCTGCATCATATGGCTGGGAATCTCTCCCCCATTTCCAGATGCCAACCTACATTCCCACCCAGGACAGATCCTGCTGCAATGCAATGAAGGTTCGGTCACTATGTTCTACACTGCCCTTGGCTATATGGGCTTTCTGGCTGCCATCTGCTTCTCGGTGGCTTTCTTGGCCCGCAAGCTGCCAGGGACCTTCAATGAAGCCAAGTTGATCACCTTCAGTATGTTGGTTTTTTGCAGTGTTTGGGTCTCCTTTGTGCCCACCTACCTGAGCACCAAAGGGAAATAC